GCCACTCTGGCCCTCACCTCTCGGCGCTCCCGCCCCCATGGCACCTCGTCTCCCGGCACTTCCCCCTCTCCGCCTCCCTGCACTGTCCGCACAACTGCATCGTCCCTCCAGTCCTCTGCACGTCCTCGAGTGCACCGTCCCCACCACGGCACCTTCCCCTCACCTCCCTCTGTGCCAGTCCCTCTGCACCGCCTAGCTTCTTCCCCCTGCACCCATCCCTGTGGCACCGCCTCCTTCTTCACCCCTGCACGCTCTTACTCCCCACTCTCATCCCTGTGGCACCTCCTCTCCCACCTGCGCCCATCCTTACGTCACCACTCCTCACCCTGGTGCTCTTTGTGGCCCTATCTGGAGTCCTTTATCCCATGTCTACCCCCTCTTGCCCATATCCAGGACACATCACCACCTTTGCACCCCATCCCCAGGGCACCTTCCATCCCCTGCATGTTCCAGGGATGCAGGGATTCATGTTCCATCCTCTACAGTTCCAGGATCCTCCTAGCCTCCCCTCTGAGCAAACATGGGGAGAGGACAGTACACCTCAGTCAGATCCTGCAGCTAGGGCAGATCTGGCAGCATTGTGGGAACCATGTTACTCTGGCTCCCACCAATGTGAAGCATGAAGCCTGATCAGGGTATTTGTGCAGAATGTTGTTATTTTCCCTTGCACACATGCATTTTCTCAACCCCTCCCACCTTTGAATAATTCTCTGCTCTCTCCCACATCCCACCACAGGTGCTGCCCAGTTCTAACTCCCAGTTCACCACCACTTGATTGCCTAGCGCCCTCTTCTCCTAAGATACCCTGTCCCCGTTGGTAGTGCCTGTGACTCCATGACAGTGATCGCCAACCTTTTTAAGCACAAGATCACTTTTTTGAGATTAAGTGCAATCCACGATCTACCTCAAACCCAAATACCCCTGCCCCACTCCTTCATGCCCTTTCCTTGAGGCCCCGCTCCTGCTCATTCCTTCCTCCCTCACTCCCCCATTCTTCCTCCCTTTCACTAGTCTGGGGCAGAGGGTTGGGGTGCAAGCTCTGGTCTTAGTTCAAGGGATTTGGAATGCGAGGGGCTCTGTGCTGAGCCTGGGGCAGGAAGTTGGGGGGGCAGAAGGGCGTTCAGGGTACAAACTCTGTAAGGGAGTTTGGATGGGGGGGACTCAGGGTTAGGACAGGGGCTTGGGGTGCACGAGGGGGTTTATGACTGGGGCAGGGGTTCAGGATGTAGGCTCCAGCTGGACACTACTTACCACAGGTGGTGCAGTGGGGCTAAGGCAGGCTCACCTCTGTGCTGGCCCTGCACTACTCTCAAAAGCAGCCAGCAAATTCCATCCCAAATCCTGTTGTGCCCCCCTCCATTCTGTGGAGATAAACCACAGGATGGGAGAGGGAACACCCTGACATTAGTGCCCCCTTCTTTTCCTTCCCTGCTCTGCCCAGCAAGTGGGGGATGGGGGAGGGGCAGCTCCAAGGCAAAGGGCAGGAGGTGCACAGCAGTGCGGGGACGGGCAGCTGAAGTGCCAGCGTTTGATAGCCTCTTGGACAAACCAGTCAAAATCACCTGCCAGAGGCTCCAAGATCTACCAGTAGATCCCAATTTACTGGTTGGTGACCACTGCTCTATGGGAATACCCTGGCCCCCTTCCATGCCGCTCTGTTAGTTTTCTTTTAATACTTATTTTATCCCCTTCTATCACCCCTCTTAGGCAATCTTCTATTCTGGGTTTCCACCCCCTCACAAAGTAGGAGTGTTCAAAGGAGTGTTCAAAGGTTAACACTACTCCTGAGTGAGTTAGTAAGTGAATGGAAAGTACCTTGCTTTCAAGCAAAAGCTAGGAAACTCCCTCCTTATCCCCAGGTGCATTTTGTCACTTCAAATCTTCTTAAGAGTTAGAATAATTAACAATTTATTAAATCATTTATTTGGGGCTCAGTTTCCAAAAGACTATGTGCTACCTTGTTTATAGCTGAGACCACCAGCATCTAATTAGCCATGTGTGAAGTTAGATATCCATGAAAACTTTACAAGCTATCTGCAGATACACATACATATCTGTACAACTTGTTCTTTATCAGTCAAAAGTTCAAGGGTTCTGAATACTGTCATGTTCCTTCAATTTCTGTTTTTCTTGATTAATTAGATTGTAGCTCATTAGGGGTAGAGAATGTCTTTTACTTTGTATTTTTAAATGGTGTCCAGCACAATTAGACCCCAGTCATCTAAGCACAACTTTAATACAAATTAATAATTTAAAAATTTACCATCATACTTAAGCTTCCATTACTGTTGAACTGGCATCAGTGCACATGTAGGCATGATACTCATCCAGAAATTGTATCAAAGTTTGTCTTTGTGGATAAGTATAGAATTAATAACTCATTCAAATGTAACTAAGACATAATTCTAGACAAAGTAATACCTAACAATACTTTTACATCTAATACCCTTAACAATGTGCAGTGTACTAAGCCTCACAACAATACTGGATATCTTATTATCCACATTTTAGAAACTGGAAAAAATAAAGCTTAAGTTAAATCGCTTGCCCAAGATTCTGGAGGAATTCTGGGGCAGACATGGAAATGGAACTAATCTCTCCACTGCCAGACAGGTGTTTTAAAATATTACACCATTATTCTGTTTCCCTTCCTAAAATTAATTTTGGGTATCAGACCTCAACCTGTGAAAGCCCTAATGTGGGATGCAAACTTACCTGTAAATAATGGGAATAAAAATTATTCATTCAAGGAGCTTAGTGCTGTGGGATTCATTTGTTTGGCATAAATCCAGTTTCTGAATTTATAATTCTACAATTCCAGTTTTTAATGTAAATACTGTAAAACAATAAAAGTGAAGGTTTATATGAACCTATGTAAATTAGACTGAAATGAGAGACATTTGTGAAGCATATTGGGAACACCCTAAACTTGGTTCACTTCTATCTATAATATTTAAATCATTGTGTCAAGACAATCCAAACGCATCTGGAATATTTTAATTAGTCTGCAAAACCTGAGAACATCCTGCAATGGCATCCTGATTACAGATGACCTGCGTGATCAAAAATCTGTTAAAAATTGTCTGAGTGGCTAATATCTTTCTGACTGTAGCCTTGGAGTTTTATATACAAAGAAAAGCTTGTTTTCTACTTTAAAGCAAATATTATGTCAGAAAGTTGTATTAGAAGGGAATATAACTTAGCAATTTTATTTGTTTAAGGATATCTCACAGAATTTTCACTCTTTCACTTTCTATCACAGCACTGGCTATGAACTCTAACACTATTTAGTTGTGGAAGGCCTTACATATCACTCCCCCATCAGTAACTGGAATATGTGAGTGGTACAGCCCACTAGTAATTTCATTTGTCAGTTTCTTTTTTGAGTAAAATAATGAAATACTCACTTGTGCACAACTATAAAGACTATATCTACCACCTTAAAAACAAAATTTCTAAAAGGGGAGGTGAGTGGGTGGGTGAGAACCATATATGATGGTCTCTGCAGACAAGGACAATTACAGTGTAAGAACTCTTCATCAGGGGATTCTTACTCTAGGGCCATGTCTACTCTACAGATAAGATTGAAGTAGCTGTAATCAATCTCCCAGGGTTCAAATTAGTGGGTCTAGTGAAGACACACTAATTTGAATTGAGAGGGCGCTCCCATCAATACTGATAGTCCTACTTCTGCAAGAAGTAAGGGAAGTTGAAGCAAGAGTGTGCTGCCTTTGACTTTCCACAGTATAGACAGTGCCAAAATTTGAGTTAAGATACTTCAATTTAAGCTATGGAATTAACGGAGCTAAAGTTGCGTATCTTAATTCGAACTTATCACCTAGCGTAGACCAGGGCTAAGGGTTAGGTAGCATGAGGAATAGCAGTACTACTCACTAGACCAGACAATGATGAAGATACAGGGTGATGATAAACAAACAACATATTTGATTGAATCAACAAAAGGATCAGGTACCTCCA